CAGTAACTTGACCAACTGTTTTAAAGATTGGTGATTAAGAAATGAGAGCACATAACCTTGAAAAGCCACTGAGGACTCTCCGCACAGAACTCCATGCAAACAGCAAGTACTGCAGCAGGAACAGTAGACACCCAAAAACAAACCCGCCACCTAAGCATCAATCATGTTGATAGAAAATAGTGCTTTAGATAACTGTTGGAAAATAAATAAGAAGCGTAACATAAGAACTAAGAAATAATAGATGAAAACTTGAAATAAAAAGTTTTCGGGAATATTGTGATCCCATGAGATTTATCTTACCAACCCACAATATCCTTGGCTGGGAGTCCAATAAAGAGAGATCCCATAAGTCCAAGGCATGTCGCAATTTGTGTGAAGCTCCCAAAAGTACCCCTTATAAAAGCTGGTGAAATCTACTCAAGTGAACAGAGCATGCTTAAATATTTAAGAAGATCAAATGGAGACTAAGCAATTTCAATTGACAGTTGCAGAGAAAACAACAAAGATAATTTTTTACACCTCTGACACATAGATAGCAGCAACAGGTGGGCCAATGCCCATCCCAGTTCCAACAAATATCCTCCCTAAAAGCATGCCCCATAGACTTTTGGTTGTTGCACTGAAAAATCACATTAAAATTGTTTAAAACTCATATACTTCAGCTACCAGAGGAGTACGTGACACGCAGAATTCCCTAATTGTGATAGATGTAAAGCAGTAAAAGAAACTTTTCTTCAGTAAGTAATATTTTTTTTTATCTGCAAAACTTATAGTGAGAGGTATAAGGAGGAAACATGTAACTTTGGATCACGTAAAAGGTCATGATTTATTTTTAGTATTTTGTTTAAGGTTTAGGGTTTACAGTGATCATAAACCTTGGTTATGTCCTTCTGGTGGTCATAAGAGTAGTTGAAGCAAGGAAGCTATGGTTTTGTTTATCTGGACACCTTTGAGTGCAAGGTATAAGAAGGAAAAGCATGAAAAAGTTGGATCACGGAAAAGGTGGTCATGAGTAATTCATGATTTCATTCTCAGTATTTTGTTTAGGGGTTTTCGGGTGGTCACAAACCCTAATGATTTGATTTTGGTGGTCATAAGTAAATTCCCTCCCTAGTGGCATAAATCCAAATTGGTTATATGACACTTGATCCTTTGATTAGTCTGTTCTATTTCCTTTCCCCACAATTCCATATTGTGACGAATCCATTTAAGTTCTTTATATTTCCCATTTGGGAAAGGCACATTATACATGCCTGCAATTTTCATAACAAATTACCTCATTGATGCACCGATTATCATCGGCAATGCACACAGCTGGAATGCCCTTCGATGCCCAACTCCATCTAGAATCCATCCACTAAATATAGATCCAAAAAAAGCAGCCCCTAAACAGGTACTCACTACTAGACCTTCATTGAGATAGAAGACATGATATCAAATTATGAAATCCATTTAGCTAAGAGAAGAGCCAACAACACTAATTACCCTTAGCCAAGGGATTCCCACTGAAACCAAGGTCCATAGAAATGCTATCTAGTGTCTCATTAACCACTCTGCATTAGCAAAAACAACAAAGAGTATGCTATATAAGTTAGCAAAACATATAAATAAGAAAAACAGAAAAGGAAATCTGAGTTTCAGGATTAGGGACGAACCCGAGATGGTAGCCAAATAAGAATGAAGAAAGAGTTGCCACAAGCATATGCGGCAAAGAGTGTCTCCATGAAGGGTTTCCAATACCTTTTGCATTCACTAGACCTACTAAAACCCATACAAGGAATCAGCCCCAAGTGAGTACTATTTATGGTAGTATGTTTGCACTTCAAACCAAATGATCAAAGACTAATGAAACTTCTAAATAGTAATATATAACCAATACAGGAACTTCCAATCCCAAAGTAAATAGAGAAAACGCTAAAGCGGTGTAATACCCCAGATATAGGAAAACTAAAATATAAAATTAGTGAGAGAGCAATCCAGATGTACCTGAACTTTCTTCTCTATCATAAGCATTGATATGGTCCTTCGACGCCACACGCTTGTATGCCGAGTAGGCATCGAGATGACGACCCCGCATAGCAAAATTGTAGAAACCTTGTCTAAAGTCTGACAGATAATGTTCTGCAGCCGACTGCAAAGACCAGCCAACACTGACCAATTAATTTCTAACCAGTTCAGTATTTTTCTTTATTCTTCATTTGTAATTCGGTCCATTCCGAACTTCTGTACTATTTATTTTCATTTTACAAACCAATCTAGAACACCAAAAGCCGCATTGCCAGATTAACACAAAAATCACAGTACAGACTTCAGTCATATAACATTTTTTTATATCAGATCCAGTAAATCGTCGACCAAGATTTCAACAACACATATACAAACAAACATGTATAGGCATGCATATCATATATGTATACTTTAAAGCGAAAATTTTGGAAATTGGACGGAAATGTGAGAATCGGGATCAAATGCAGGGAGATCATTTGCCATAGAGGAAAATTGTGCTTCAAATGAAAACGGCGCAGTCTTATACGGCCAGCAATGGAAAACTCACCATTTTCTTCAAATAAATTATAATAATAAACAGCACAGACAGAGAATTTTCAGCTTTACTCCGCAGACAGAATCTTTAAAAAAAACA